ATCATCATAAGAGAAGAAAATTCAATCCAAATTGAATCTCTCCCCGCCTCTCCATCAAAATGTAAATTTTCCAATCCATGAAAGAATCTTCTGTCGATCGAGCTTCGATCTGCTGAATTAACCGTTCGTTTTCTCGTTAAGGTGAAGAGCGACACGCCGGTGATTCAGCCGACGATGAGCCTAAAGGAAGCTGTGCCGTGCAACGAAAAGTCGATGGAACCAAGAAGGGCGCAACGGGGTGATTACTGGGTCCTGTACAATTATGTGCCTATGAGCATGGCGGTGAGATGCTGGGAGAGTGTGACGTACACCACGCACGCGGATTACACGTTTCTGGATAATCTGGAACCGTTGTTGGAACGATGGAGGGCCCCGATATCGATTGCGATGCACGCCCCTGGAACAGACTTTGCGGCGACTCTCGACGCCATCAAGTACTCGAGAAACTGTGGCAGCCCGCTGGTCTCCCAGCTGGTCACCTTCCATGTATTCTTCAGTAGCAAACACGTGCCAAAAGTGGTGGGTAAAAGGAAATGACGATATTATTTTTTTTCCTTTCTCTTTCTTTCCTTGAAACACTTGTCATTTTTTTTTCTTCTCTTTTATATGTATATAAACGTAGATCGAATTAATAAAGAAATATGATCTGGATGGTCTGTTAATTTAGATAGACATGATTTATGATCCAAGAGATTGCAGGTTTTTTTCTAAATATTTTTATATTTAATATTCTTTAATAATTCTGTTTAAAGACAATTATGAAAGAAATTATAGCTGAGAGAAGGGAATTTTAAAATTAATCGTTTCTAGGTTTCATAATTAAAAACACATGTTTCATTGTTCGGTTATACTTCGCAACAGTATATCATTAATTCTATTGTTTTAATTACATCAATTTAGCGTATCACGTATCATATTTTTTTGAAAATCTTGCTCCTGAGAGAATTTAAAAGAGCTATTAGAAAAATTATCCTCAAATAAATATATTTGAATTGAAAACAAGTATTAAATTAAATAAATATTGCTCAACAATTTTGATTTACATTTCTTGGAGACTAGATCTATCGCATATTATGTGGTATTCTCTATATATGAAACAGGGCGTGTTCCTTAATTTCCATCACTTTTGAAGGATGTTCAACCAACAATTTAGACTTCACTGTAGAGATAATGTTCGGTTTCCCATACTTCAAGAAAGGATACTTGAAATAGGCCATGGTTTTGGGTTCTGAGACCACGACCCTGGAATATTGAGGATTAACAACTTGTTCTGTGAAAACTGGTGTCACGATCTCCTTTTCTACCTCTGAAACAACCACTCTTTCTGGAACATTCTCCACGATTTTTTCCGCACGAATGACCTTCTCAACTACTGGTTCTTTCGAGAAAGGTTGGACGATGTTCACGTTGGTTTGAGAGCCGGGATAGGTCTGCTGGAACACTTGCACGGTCTTGGACGAATGAGGACCAAATGCGATCACATTGGCAGTGGTTTGATCGCGTGGAATCAAACTCAAGATTGGTTGGGATCCTGGCCGAATATTGAGAGTTTGAACAGAAGATTGTGGAGCTTTGACGCTCAAAATTTGGACTCTTTGCAAACTTGGTTGGATGCTGAAAGTTTGAACAGCCGGTGGACTTTGAACGCTGAAAGTTTGAACGGATTGTGGGTTTTGAACGTTCAAAGTTTGGACAGATTGCGGGCCTTGAATGCTCAAAGTTTGAACTGTCTGAGAAGCTGGCCGGATGTTGACAGTTTGAACGGATTGTGGCCTTTGAATGTTGAGCGTTTGAACCGCTGGTTGGATGTTGATTTGAGCAGGTTGTCGTTCTTGGATGTTAACAGTTTGAACAGGAAATTGTGGAAATTGAATGTTGGTAGATTTTACATCCGGCTGTATGTTCAGGGTTTGAACGTTATTTGAAACTTTCTGAATGTGTTGCGCTCCTGTCATCTTGTGAAGAAGTATCGACTTCTTAGATCTGTCCACGTCTTCGCCAGTCTGCTCGATCTTCGGCTCCTCCTCTTTCAATCCTTCTTCCTTAGATTCTTCTTTCTTCTCCGTTGGAACTGAGCAATTGCCAATTATTGCCAGACCCAGCAACAGAAACGTTAAAGCGTTGAGGTACATTTCTTTTTTCAGATTGTTCTTACGATCCTTCTTCGAAAACTGTGAACATCTCAGCGATGAGGCTGGTTTTTAAACGTATCCACGAGATTCACCCGACACGTTTGATGTGTAAATCACTCACGTATCGAAAACACAAGACGTTGCTGACCGCGCACAATTTCGATAGTATCGTGTCACTTGTTGACGCTGCCAGTACATGGGATGCGCCGTGTTTTTAGTCTCGTTCGTGTTTCCATTGCGTGACATTAATTATTCTTCCGCACTTTTTATTTATTTATTGCATTATGTTATTTATTGTATCTACATGTACTCGTGACACGACGAAAAGATTGGTCCAGGAAATGAAAAATCTTCTCAGTCAGAAATGAAAATGAAGATGAAATTAAATTTTACGAGATAGAATACGATTAATCATTTCGTTCAATTTTTAAAAATTATTAGTTAGATTTATTCGTGGAAATTGTGTTTCAATTTGAAAGAAAAATTTCTTTTTCCACGAATCTTTTGAATAATTTAAAAAGTTTTTTTTTTTTTTTTAATTTGTTTGAAATTTCTTTAATTCGTTCGTTCTTCTTTTATTTTCCATTCTCTTTTCTAATTTTCTAAGTTTTTTTAATCCATTTGTATTTACATTTTTTTATCTTGAATTTAATATTATTTTATGTTTTGTTTTATTTTTTATTATTTTATATTTCCTATCAATATTATGCACATATTATGACAAATAAAAATCTTTCTGAAATTAAAAAAAAATGAATAGGAAGAATTTAATTAAATATTTTTTCATAACTTTTCAATAGAAAATTCTAATTAAAAAAGAAATTTTATAATTAGAAAATTTATTTAGAAAGTTGGCTTAATCCTCCTTTCTACCTTTTCTCTCGAACGTATAGCATCATTTCAAAGCGAAGAAATCTTTCAAGATAGATGAGATAGATTCTCAGTT